ACACTTTCCTACATTATATTCCATTTGCCAGATCCTTGCCTACTCACTTATAGCTTCTAAATGAGCATTATGTTTTGTTTGCAGTGTTTTAAAACATCTTCTCCAAGCTTCAGCTCTGGCTTTCAGCTCACTATTGTTTATATGTTGTTTTCCAAGTCCACACCCAGGCCTGAACAATCAGACACAGTAATCGTTAGCAGCAAATAACACCCATATAATTAAATATTGAAGAACTGAGCCATTGAACACCACAGCTCCTATCTTGCTGGTCTGAGTTCGACTCACCTTTAAATCACCACTGCACCTGGATTATGAGTGATGTACTATTCTTGAAGTTTGTTGGCTTCAATAACATGGAATTCTTTCTCCCTCTGGCACCAATTGCCTATCTAGGCATTACTACGGTGGCAGCAGCTTTACTAGAGTCATAGAGTCATCGAGGTATACAACAAGGAAACAGACACTTTGGTCCAACTCGTCCATGCCAACCAGATATCCTCAATTAATCTAGTCTCGTATGCCAGCATTTGGCCCATATGCCTCTCAACCCTTTCTATTCTTGTACCCATCCAGATGTCTTTAAAACATTGTAATTGTACCAGCCTCCACCACTTCCTCTGTTAGCTCATTTCATACACGCACCACCCTCTGCATGAAAAGAGCCTTTTAAATCTTTCCCCTCTCATCTTAAACTTATGTCCTTTAGTTACGGACTCCTCTAACCTTGACTGATCATCCTATCCACGTCCCTCATGATTGTATAGATCTTTATAAGGCCAACCCTGATCCTCCAATGCTCCAGGGAAAATAACCCCAGCCTATTCAGACTTTCCCTATAGTTCAAAACCTCCAACCCTGGCAGTATCCATGTAAATGTCTTCTGAACCTTTGCAAACTTCACATCATCTTTCCTACAGCAGGAAGACCAGAACTGAATACAAAAGTGGCCTAACTAATGTCCTGTACAGCCACAACATGATGTCCCAACTCCTATACTCAATGCAACGCATGTGAATTGATTTATCCCAGATACGTGGACAAGGAACAGCAGTAAATTCACTGGGCAGGTGACAGTAACCCTACCACTAGGAACATGGAAAAGGCAGGCCACTTTTTGAGAAGGTCACATGTTTATTTTATGAGCATAGCTATCACTTATGAAGCAATTTGGTGTTTGCATTAGGCCAGAGCCAGAAGACAAAGCAATAGCTTAGGCATCCTCCAGGATGAGTGAAATTGCCGCGGAGAATGATGAAATAAATCGTCTGTGGCCTGGCAACTTTCTCATCACTTCTCAAATTGGCTATTTTTCCAGTTTAGCAAGAGGCAAGCTTTTCTGTCCTTGTCTTGCATTGATGTAGGGCACAGGTCTCAAAATGAGATCAGCAAACACGCAGTTTCATTATCGATGCAGCTGGCTTATTGAATCCTTCATGGGAAGGCCTATCATGTCTCCATTGGCGGTCAAAGGATTGTCCAGCCCATTCTCACTTTCCAACTCTTCGTCAGCAGCGTTCAATTCTCGATCCGTGCTCTTCTTAAATGTTCTATGGCTACCCCCATCTATCATCCTTCCTGGCAGTGAGTCGCACATCTCCAGCCATCTCTGGGTGAAAAATGTTTCCTCGGATCCTCTCCAAGTGTTTTACTTCTTAGGTTAAATTTATGCCCCTTGCTTATTGACCTCTGAACCAAAGGATTTGGCCTTTCTTACCCATGTTATGGAGATCCTTCTTGTGCGCTCCATTCTGGAAAGGCTGCATCTCCAAAATGTTAGCCTGATTCAGACAATAGACCATTTAGATATGAACCGGCTATCAGCATTGTGTCCATCAGTTAGAATATCGATATCCTCACTTATTAGAGAGACCAGGGAATTTGGAGAAGGAGGGGAGAGAGAAGCGGTGCTAATGCATTGGAGCCTTGGAAAGAACAAATGTAACGTGAGAGTAGGCCGTAGAAATTCTCTCTGTCACATTCGGAATTGGAAAACAACGCAAGATTTTGGTGTGAATTGTCTACAAACCTGATAACAGTAATGCAGTAGTATATACTTGGAGATTAGAGAAATGTGCTGGACAATTTATAATGGGATGTTTTAACTTTCTCACAGAGCAAGCCAAACTGCTCAAAACCAAAGGCTGCAAAGGTTGGTCCAAGATGGCAGCAGAGTAAAACGCTCCAACCAGAGCACTTCTGCTCTTGTCTGTTTACTTCTCATTTCCTTTTCTTTTTCCCTTTTCTCTCTCTTTCTCCCCGCTTTTGGTGATTTCCCCTTCTTGGTGTTTCTTCACCTCCCCTGCGGTAGGCCTGAGCCCAATCTCTCGGCGGGTCTTGTCGGCTCATGGTGGGTCTCGGCCTGGCCTCTTGGCAGGTCTCAGCAGCTTGTGGCAGGTCTCGGCCTAGTCCCTCGGCGGCTCTCCTCCTGGTACTTCGGTGGCTCACAGTGGGCTCTCAGCCTGTTCTCTCGGTGGCCCGGTGGCGATGCCTCGCTCAGCGCGCGAGCTGGTCCTGCCTGGTTGTGTTCTCGAGGGACCAGGGATGGTCAGAGAGGTAGCAGCTTCAACAGCAGTGATGGTATCTGCAGTGACAACATCGAAAATAGGCACTGAGGTCTCACGGAGAGCGAGATGAGTGGAGGACTTGTCAAATACTGTTGAACCGTTGTTTCTGTTATTACTTTGTACCTATGTTTTTTGTACCCAGGTACCTTTGCATCTAAGATGGCGCCTTGTGTGGTGATGCTATACACTTTTCATTCTACCCCTGTACTTCTGTTCTTGAGTACACGTGGTTAAAAAGATCTAAATTTAAATCTAATATTCGAGGCAACTTTCATGGAATTATACGTTCAACCTATGAGTGGACAAACCAATGTAGATTTTAGGTTCAAAACAGAGACAATATTTATTACCAATGCAGCTAACTGCGACTGTCAAATAATTGGCTTAAATATCTGGTTCAGGAGGCAGTAGGATAAATCACAAACTAAGGGCAGAATCTGCACAGCCCCTGAATGATGTGGATACCGATGAAAAAATTGGGAGAATCACGTGAGATGGTCAAGGAAGAGCTTTCTCCATTCGAAGGTCAGTGTTGAGTGGTGAGATGAGATTTTCGTTGGTAATTGGTGAGAGATCTATGTACATGTATGAACATCCTCATACTACATCTTCATACTTCACTAATATGCAGTTTCCCATTCTCTCATCCATTCAACTAAAGCTCTACAGCAACAATACCCAACATGGAAAAGTCAGAGTGGTAACTGAACAATTCCATTTATGGCTTATTCTTCATCTGTCATCTACACCTCAGGACATACTCCATCACACTCTAGCTGTTTGTTTATAACTGCAGCACTTCTACACAGGTCAATTGTTTTCTTAAGTGTAAGTTTGTCTTCTTTCAATAGGCACACCAGCACCATTAGATCCCTAATTCTTAATACAATCCTGTCTCTAATTAGCTCATCCTTGAATTGTACAATTCACAGGTTTCTGCAAACTAAGTTAATGACGCTACATATTGCAGTTAGACACACTATTATCCTGCCATTCTTACATTCTGATCACTTGATCTGAACTAGCAACATCCTTTCTCCCCAAGCCCTCCAACCACCCCCAAAATACTACATAAATGCTGCCCCCTCCACACTTCACTTCATTTCTAATGAAGCGTCGTCTAGATTCAAAACATTAGCTTGTTCTCTCTCCATGGATGTTGCCTGACCCACAGTGATCTCCAGCATTTTTTGTTTTCAGTACAGATTCCAGCATCTGCAGTAATTTGCTCCTACAGTAATCCATGACAACTTATTCCATATTATTAAATGTGTGCTGTTCATACTTAATGTTCACTTGGAGCTCAAAGACACCTTCAAAGCTTTTAAAATGCCTGTCACTTCTTTTTTTCCTCTGATCTTCGGTGAGATTGGGGGTGGAATATATTTTGAAACACTTTCTTTCCAACTGTGATAGAAGTGTAATGAATTGTACATATTCTGGTTTGCTCAATAAATCATTGTGTAATTCCACCATAGTACATGGAAGAATTCGAAGTTCTTCTCTTACATCTGCAACCACTTTAACAGAAGCTGGTGGGAGAAAATCTGCAGCTGTATTCTCTTCAGCAGCTGTTTTCACCATAATCTTCTGTCCTTTTACACGTTGCTCACAATTCTGAAGATATGCTTTATATCTCAGCTCTGTTCACTCACCACTTCTGACACTATGCTTTGAGTGTACAACTCAGCAGTATGTTCAACACAAGAACTTTTTGGAAGTGAAACTTAAGACATCTGTTTGTGCCTTATGGAAGAGACCACCTTCATACAACAGACTAAAGCAGATATTTGTACGTGATTGAATTCAAACAGACAGCAGTAGTTTATGAAGGCAGCTCAACTCTACCTTTTCCGTTGCAATTAGAGGTGGGTAAGGAAGGCTGACCTCACCATCAATGCCCATATCCAGTGAATGAATCAATAAAACAATCAAATAGTGACTCAGGGGGTTTGTTTTTACCAGTTTCATTCATAATCATTCATAATATATCTGTGGTTAAGAAACATTTAAAAAGAACTACAGAAGATGGTGCTTATGCTGTACCAGATGGACTGGTAAGTGGATTTGAATTAACATTCAGCTCACTACAGAACCAGTCAATGAATAGATTAAGGTCTTCCAACATAATTTTATCAGAGTCTGCTGGAGGAGATCCGAGAAGTGTTTTGCAGGATTCCAATGTATGACTGCTCCAGACACAGAGCAACAAACAATATCTTCTGAGTAAAATTGCCCTGAGCAATAAACTCTATGCTGTCTGATTAAAACAAGGGCCCCTACATGTTGTCTCAGTGCCTGATGTCTCTCTGCCAGCCCCCCCAGGATGGAATGGAACCTGATAGGCTGTTCAGCATCTCACGTGGCCTCTCCTGACACCATCCTGAGGAGCAACTGCACAGTAAACTGTTCCGAACTAATGAATGAAAGAGTCTGTGCATTTGGGAGAGAGCTCTATGAAGTGACGACGAGGGATGGAGAGAGAGAATCTGTGAGTCTCTTCTGTGCTCTGTGCTCCAGAGTTCACAAACTGTTTGAACAATATCACTTATTCAAGGTAATGTAAGTTTTTAACAAAAATTAGCTTGAATCAAAGGGTCAAATATCAATTAATAATGGTATATATTTGCGTGCTGTTCACGAATGATAGAAAGCTGAAATTTACGAGCGTAGTTATTATATTTATTGAGATAATCTTTAACCCTTTCCTCCGCTAGCATGACCCTATACGGATCTTCTCTTCATTTCAAGTTGCTTCATTTTAATTATTGATTATATTAAATTGAAATTGTGCAAGTCAAATCTCTCTACCATTGATTTAAATTACTTAATTTAAAATGACTGGATGGTTTAACTTTTATTTGTGTGAAAATGACTTTGAATTGAGAGCCAGCTGCATTTCTTATGTGTCATTATAATGGTTTATGATTTCTGTTTATTGGTATTTAAAGTGCTTGGGGTCTAATTCTGGGCTTGTAAGAATAATTGAATCTATGAAACAGAGCCATGATGATATTGAAAACAGTAACTACAACATATACACATTTACAATCCTCCTCTCTAGGGGATTGTTATATGTAAATTACTGATTTTATTTTAAGACCAGAATGCAATATTTTGTAAATCTACAAATGACAATTTATTTCTAAATTCATTGAGCTGAAAGAGGAGATTTAAGCAGAATTGATATGTCTTTGTTCCATTTAGGAATACTATTTCTGACTGAGAAGGATGCTGTTGTTGGAAAATCTTTATGAAAGAATGGCTGGGCTGAAGCTAAAGGCTTTGTCATTTTTCACATGTTATTCAAGAACAGACTTGATCATAAAGCACAGGCTGGTCCCTTGTGAGGTAACACATACCAGTGTACAACATATTGTATACCTGATATGGTTATAGACTGACTGAGCTACAAGGCGTTAGGATGGAATGAAATGTTCTGAAATCCAGTAGCTTAAGGAAGAAATATCTATCAAGTTTTATTCCCAGACCTCCACAAACCCTATGCAAATCCCCTTGTTTGTTCGGAAAATGCACATATGGATGTCAGTCATGGCTCAGCGGTAGCACTCTCACCACTGAGTCATGTTGGCTCCACTCCACTCCAGAAACTCAAGCACAAAATCCAATGAAGACTTGGGTGGGGGAGTGCTGAAGTGGAAGAGGCTCTGTGTTCTGAATGTGATCTTAACCTGAGGCTCCAACTGCTGTATCAGTGAAGAAAAAAATCTCAAGGTATAGTCTGCAAAAATTGTCATGGGCCAACATTTGTCACTAAAATAGACTATCGGGTCATGATTACATTGCGGTTTCTGGTATTTCATTTTGCACAAATCGACTGCTTTATTTCCAAAGTATAGGCAGCACTTCTTAAGGAGAGATGTGAAACTCTTTTGAACATTCCAAGATGAAGAAAACCTTGATGTGGGGGTTCTGGTGTTGGCCTGAGTCAAAGTCAAAAGTCACACAACTCCAGGTAATGATCCAATATAGAGATAGTAGGAACTGCAGATGCTGGAGAATCTGAGATAACAAGGTGTAGAGCTGGATGAACACAGCAGGTCAAGCAGCATCAGAAGAGCAGGCAATCTGATGTTTTGGGCCTAGACCCTTCTTTTGCTGTGTTCATTCAGCTCTACACCTTGTTGTCTCTCTATGGTCCAATATGGTTGGACCATTACCTGGTGTCATGTGACTTCTGACTTTGAAGGTTTGGAAAAGCATTACATAAACAATTCCTCTGAATAAATCATCAGTGTATGTTTCATAATGATATCCTCAAATGGTTGATGTTTAGTTTTGTATAAACCAATGGAACATTCGAAACAATGTTTCATGGACCATGAGTACTTTGCCCCCTAGGAGACATAATTATTATGTGGACCCTCAAAAGCCGGTAGGATTTGTTAGCCATGAAGTCCTGAAACTCAACATTGAGCCCAAAGCCTAAGGGGAGTCATTGATTTTAACCAGCAGGCCATAGTCCCCCAGATGATCAGTGGAACTCAAGATCTCCAGGAAGCCAACAGGATTCAAGGAGTCAGGTCAAGTTACCAGCAGGATTTCAGCAGCAGGATGGGAGAACAGTGGGAGTTAATGTTTCTCTAGGGTTCTTCAGTAGATTTGTCGCTTGGGTTGTGGATGCTGTGGTTGGTTCGCTCGCCAAATAACGAACCAGCTCGGCAAACGAACCAACCACGGTTAATCCTTCTGGCCAGGAGACCACTGTTGTACAGGGTTTCAGGGACTAGGCATTAATAGGATTCAGGTCTTTCCTTTATAGAGCAGCGCTTAACAAGTTCATCCAGTAACCCAAAGGCAGTTAGCAGATCATCAAAAATTAAGAAATCTAGGGATGGGACACCAGCTAAAATCGGAGGTTCAAATCAAAGGGATTTACAGGATTCAGAGATTCAGGGCTTGAGGACCCAGGGGCCCAGTGGGAGTCTGAGTCTATGGTTCAGGGGAGACAAAGGGGAGTGGGGAATATTTTATACTCACCTGTGGGATGTGGACTTGGCTGGTTGGGTCAGCATTTATTGCCTATCCCTAGCTGTCCTCGAGAAGGTGGTGGTGAGCTAAGACTCAGAGCACCAATGGGAGTTAAAGATTAGGGCCCAGCAGGTGAGAATGAGGGGCTGAGGCCCAAGAGACCAATGCGAGTAAGGATCCAGGTAATATTCCATTGGTATGAGAAGTAATGCGATTATTGTGCCATTTGCTGCTATACCGAGAATTTAAAATGGCTGCCTGTGTTAATTTCTCCTGCTTATGTTTTTCTAACAGGTTGATAATATTTCTGAAAACTATTTTGAAACCCAAACATTCATTTACTTTTAAATCTGTTACTACGCTGATAACTGTTTCCTCACTTCATTTCCATAATCTCCAATAGGTATAATATCCACTAAGTCCTCCAAATTTATGTACCCTATTCTCTTTCTTTTTCTCTATGGATTCAACTTTACACTCTCCTTTGTGTTTGAAGGTGGAAGGGGTGGGGAAGTTAGAAAGGGGGCAAGCATGTAGGTGCTCAGCTACCAGGCAGTATGTTACCCATTGGGTGGGTGGGGAGAAGGACTGTCCATGCCACATAGGAAACCCCATAGCTTTAACTGCCCGGGCTGGTTCGCTCATTAATTAATTCATTCATTCAGTCAGTAGCTTTAACTGTGCAGGTTGGTATCAGATGGAGGAAGCCTCCTCTGTGCGTCCACTCAGGTCATCAACAACAGCCATTGCAAAGGGCCATTTCCACCGGTCTTTAACTCGACCCACAGCTAATTGAATTGCCATTTGATCCCACAAAAGGAGGATGAAGGATTGCCTTCAAGCAATTGCTGGGAGAGAGCTTTCAAGATCATGCATGGGCTTCTCACAACATTTTAGCTGGATTGGGGACTGTACGGTCCCTTGAAGCACAGCCTCAGGTCTCATGAAGTTCTCATCTCTCTGGCTATGGTTCCCAATACCACTGGTCCTTTCTCTTTTAAGCATTCTTCATCTCCGAGGTTCAGTAATGAATGCTGACATGATAGCTGGCTGTAAGGACACCTAGACTGAAATCATTCTCGCTCAATGCCCAGAGATGTATATTTTACCATAGGAATTGGTGGATGGCAGTCAGAAGTAGGATATGTCCTCCAGCACTCTGGGTTCCATGGTGTAATGGTGATCCAAGTTCTAATCTTGGTGCAACCTTCCTTGGGTGGCACAGCGGCTCAGTGGTTAGCACTGCTGCCTCACATCACCTGGGGACCTGGGTTCAATTCCACCCTCAGGTGATTGCCTGTGTGGAGTTTGCACATTCTCCCCATTTCTGCGTGGGTTTCCTCCAGGTGCTCTGGTTTCCTCCCACAGTCCGAAGATGTGCACATTAAGTGGATTGGCCATGCTATAGTGCCCAGGGATGTGCAGGCTAGGTGAGTTAGCCATAAGAAATGAAAGGTTACAAGGACAGGGTAACGGTTGGGTCTGGGTTGGATGTTCTTCAGAGGGTTGGTGTGGACTCGATGGGCTGAATGGCCTATTGGGATTCTATGATTCTAACACACCCACCTCGACCAAGGGCAACAAATCATCAGCCTTCCCTCCTTTGATATTGTGACCGAGATCCAGCTAAATTAGTGTGACCAATGAAAGCTAGCTGAGACCATCAGCTCTGTTCAGTTCAGGGCTACAAAGTAATGAAATTGATGTTGTTTCATTTGTATTGTTGCTGAGTCCATTCAAGGCTCTGTCAAATTGTCACATCACAATTGTGTCACCTATATGTTTGTTGTTGTACTCAGATAAGACACTGAGCAATTCAGAAGGCAAAGGTAATTTAAAGAAAAGTGAATAGAACGGTGTTAAAGGGACAATGGAAATATAGATGCAGCATTGATGAAGGGGCAAACTAAGAGAAAGGAGGTGTTGAGTTGAGGTAAGTATATCGTGCATGATAGCTCCAATTTTAGGATTGCTGCTGTCCTTAGTGACATTGATGGCCTGGACTTAAAGGTCAGTTCAAGCGAACAAAGGAACATCATTTTAAATTTTGCAGGTAGCACAAAACTTAGCACGTAGTAATTAGAGGATAGTTGCAAATTTCATAGACAGGCTAGAAAGTAGACAGAGAGATCACATGTTAAATTTAACAAAGTGAAGTGATGCATTAAAGTAGAAAGAAGAAGGAGAAAATATAAGAAATGGTACCATTTTAAAGAGGGTGCAGGAAACATAAGAGTAAGGAGGCTATGGACACAATGTATAGGGGAGGTAATGACCTGGTGGTATTATCGCTGGGCTGTTCATCCAGAGACACATGTAACATTCTGGGGAGCAGGATTCAAATCCTGCCATGGTAGATGGTGGAATTTGAATTCAATCAAAGGAAAAATCTGGAATGAAGACTCTAATGATGACCATGAATCTGCTGTCAATTGTCAGGAAAAAAAAACATTTTTGATAGACAAGAAAGTCAAAGGTTATGGGGGTGAAGAAGACCAGAAAGCAGTTGAATCAGATCTGAGGGAATGGTGGAACAAGCTCAAAGGGCCAAATGACCAACTGCTG